ATGAAAAAATCTAAACAAATGAGTAAAAAATAAAAAATCGTTTTAAACTCCCAATTTTTGTTTCACTTTTGTTTCACCACTAGTTGGGTTACATTTTCAGAACGTCCCTCAATTATGTACGTATGGTCAATAAAACACATGTGAACATAGCCATCGGAACGGGTTATATCCAAAGAAAGAGAAGTTCATTACGATAAGCAAAAGATGTAACAGGAACTGACGTTCAAAGAAGATTAATAAAAAAGTATCTCAAAAAGGAGAATTTAAAGGTAAAAAAAATTTACATGTCAAACTTTATGAAAAATGTTATCAATTTTACTAATCTATTCAGCCATTCGTTATCAAATATTGATTTCGAAGAGAATGAAGAGTGATGATGCGATGTTCACTTCTTGATCAGTCTCATTGGATATTGATGATAATACCATTGTTCACATCTTTATTCACTTTTACTGACCCTGTACATTGTTTTCCCGTTCTGTACCGGTGTTGACGAGAATGAAGAGTGAAGTGATGTTCCCTTCTTGATCAGTCTCATGGATGTTTCTTTTGGACATTTTGGTAGAATTGTATGATATTTGGCACCTAATTCGATGTGAATTACTCTTTCTGCGTGATGAGTATATTTGCATTTCCTCATCAGCTCGGTGATTAATTGACTGAGAGAATTTTGATTTTCGTTAATACTTGGAAAATACTCAATTATGGACGAACGTCATTGATGACAAATTCTTTCTTAAACAAAGAAAAAGGAAATTCAAGGAAAGATACGATGGTCATTGAGAATTTGGAAATTTCCTGTCCTATTTTTAACAAATATTCAATCATAAAAAGAAATTTTACCGAGTTGATAGCTTTTTCCATAACGATAATTGTATTGTTGATTACACTCTATTTGTGGGTCATCTTCACGTCGTCGTCGTCGTTATATATTTGATATCGATATCGATATCGATATCGATTTTAACGTTGATATACCGATATTTCCTAGTGGTAATCATACTTGACTAATTATCGTTATAGAAATAAAAACGATGTAAATTTTAAAACAGGGCAGATTTTTAGATTATCGTTATTGTCGTTATCGAAATAAATTCAAATCAGTTTTGTTACCGAAGTAACTAAATTTTTAATGGTGATTTCTTCTCCATTAGAGTTTCAATTATATTGGGAAAAAAAATAAGAAATGAATATTTATGATTTTTTTTATTTATTAAGATAGAATGAGTTGAAGGAGTTGTCATACAGGTAAAAGTTATTTTCATTACTTTTTCTTTAAGAAATTTGTATATAATATTAATAATGATCTCTTCTTTAGACAGCTGCCTGTGAATTATTATATAATGGAGCGAATTTCATATCAATATCTAACCATTGAAAGCGATTGAAAGCTCGAATGCTACAATGTGCTATGAAATTCTTTATCAAATAAAAAATTTTTTAGTCTTATTGACGAATTTATACGAATGCTTGATTAGTATAATAGGGTTATCGGCAGATGGATAAATGATTTTGTACGTAAAAGAAATTAAGTATATTAAAATTTTTAAATTTGTAAACCCCTATTTATCAATAGTATATAAGCGTTCAAGATATTTGCCGTGCTCGTTGTCGATTTCGAACTCGCTTTTGCTTCAATTCATTTTCGAACTTCGGAAGTAACCTAATTATATTTTCGATGGTTTTACTTTTAATTCCTTTCACCCCCGTGAGATCGCTCAAAACCTCTATCCTTTTAATTTTCGCGATATAATCGATTACTGCTTTCACTTTATTTCCGATTCTAGGAAATTCACTAACGACGTTCGGATTGCTCGAGTGCAGCACGTTAAAAGCATAAGGATATTTTTTTTTAAATCCGCCTTTCATCTTGTTTTCTAGTTCCTGTAATTTCTGCAATTCATTTTCGAACTTTGGAAGTAACCTAATTATATTTTCGATGGTTTTACTTTTAATTCCTTTCACCCCCGTGAGATCGCTCAAAACCTCTATCCTTTTAATTTTCGCGATATAATCGATTACTGCTTTCACTTTATTTCCGATTCTAGGAAATTCACTAACGACGTTCGGATTGCTCGAGTGCAGCACGTTAAAAGCATAAGGATATTTTTTTTTAAATCCGCCTTTCATCTTGTTTTCTAGTTCCTGTAATTTCTGCAATTCATTTTCGAACTTCGGAAGTAACCTAATTATATTTTC